AACTAAATACTGAGTGCTGTACATGCTCATACTTTTCATGTTCATACTTTTCAGTTCGCCAACATTTCTATAAATCCTTTGTTTTTATTGGTCTTCAGTAATATTCTAATTTACTGATATGATGAATTTGAGATTTTCATTTGTTGTCATTTGTAATCATCAAAATTAAACAAAATAAACATCTGAAATATATGAGTTTGTATGTAATGTATGAATATAATATACAAGTTTCACTTTTTAAATGGAATTACTGAAATCAATCTACTTTTTCATGATATTCTAATTTTATGACCAGCACCTGTATAATCTCAACTGCGATTCAATATATATCTCAAATCCTTTGTTTCTGTTTTTTCTTAGTTTTTTTTTTTTTGGGCTCACTAATGTCCTCTATAACACATCTGAAACCTTCAAAAAACATCTGTATTTTCACTGAGATTACATCAAACACAGGTGAACTCTAGTGAGGGAACCTTTTGTTTTTTTACACTGGTTTTTTTTTAATGGGTATCAGAATAAACTGGGTTATGAGCGAATGTATGACAAAAATATAATTGATAAAAAAGATTTTTTTTTTTTATTACCATGAACAAAACTAAATGAATTGCTTTTGTTTTTATTTGTAGGAATATTTTAATACATTAATACATATAACACAGGGAAGATTTTGGCTGTAACATGCATCTTAGGCCTGCACTAAAAAGTTGTTCACCAAAGCTGATAAAAGGAGCAATAACCTTACAACCCCTCCGCTCCAACCCCCAAGGAATTTCCTCATTTAAAACAGGACTGGAATAATAACCGTTTACCAATATAGTTTTATGTGTCTTTGATCCCAGTGTGTGTCTCATAATCCGTATTTCCCACCCGTTTTGCGTCAAACATTTTGCTTTCTCCTGATTAACAACTTAGCACATTAAAGGGAGAGGGGAGGAAAATCATTTTCACAACATAAAAAAAAATGTTGTCGATTGAGCTCTGAAAACCAATTTAGCAGGTTTCACTCAACTGTAATTTCACCCATGTTCTCTTTTAATGGCTTTGTTTTGGAAGAAAGATTGGAGGGAAAAAGAAATGCTCACAAGAATAGAGAGGAGTTCATAAATTGAATTTTAAATTTAGCAGCTGAATTACTATTGTCTCCCACGGCTCTTTTTACTTTCTCTCCTGCGTTGATTGGCATGCCCAGATGACAAGAGTGAAAAACAAAAACATTTTATGAAAGCAAAAAACTACTTCTGTGTAGTTTCCCTTTTTAATCGGCAGTTCCCCCCTGGCTCTAAACATGCTTCCCTGTGCATCACACTCGCAGTTTTTTTCTCGAAAGCGAGGAGCTGTCATTCCTCTCTAGGTAAGAGGTGAAAAAAATATGTTTCAGTTTGTCAAGAACTGTTGTCGTTTTTTGTGTGCTCAGTGGTGTAAGCGAAATATCTCGGAAAACATGACTGCAATAAGCTGAAGTCCAACATAGTGGAACTTGACATGAGATTTTTTCACTGTTCCTCTTTTTGAGGGAAATGGATCGGTATATAAAATATAACTTTACTGTGACTCTTATATCTATGAGTTCCCTGTGAAAGTGGTTGAGAACTCGGTGTGGAGATGGGAGACACACTGTAAGAGCTGAATATTCTGCTTCTAACATGTCTGTGTTAAATCCACTCTTCTGCTCCCCAAACTCTGCTTGTTTTTTCTCTTCAGTACCTTCCTAAGTGCAGCATTTAATGGCTTTTTTCGTAAGCATGTGTGCATGCTTGGCAGCTGCATGAGGGGATTTACTTGTGTTGCGCTCAGCGTTTTATTGGCAAACTAAGGACCTCTTGAGATGAACTAGTGAACTGGATGGAGTTTGGAAGCGGGGGGTTATTTTCTTCCCATATCATGTTGCAAAGCGCCATGGAAACTGAAGAGTGTTTGGCTGTCTGCCTCCTGGGGTTTTTTACAGTTTGAACAGGTCATGATTTCCCCTTTGCTCATTCAAAATACCATTTTGCTCCATTAGAAACAGATGATCAGCATCTGTTTGTCAACACAATTCACCACTGAATAAATCACCTCTTTTGCTTTCAGTTAGTTTAACATTATTTCAAGCACTTTGAGGCCAGCACTATTTTGGGAGCCCCAAAATAGAGCAAAATATTTGTTTAGCAATTACCTCTAGTGTCTAACTGAAGATTTACCGGCGAATATGAATAGTACGATGACCTTTTACAAATATGAAAAGAATTTACTTCGACTTCATTCTTTTGGGTAAAACGTTAACATGTTTTCTTTTATTATTATTCAAGAAATAATGCTTTTATTCTCCTGTGTGCTTTACTTTAATATAACCAGCAGTCGTGTCAGATGGCTGTTTTTTTAGCGTTTCTATATCAAATTAGTTTCATTCTGCTCCTTCACTCTTTAATTCAAACATTTATTTTTATGCTGCCTCCAAACTGCTTTTAGCGCTCATAAACTGATGCTTTATTAGCTGGTCTCCAACGACGAAAGTTAAAAATACTAGAGGGATTTCATTCTTGTGAACAAATTCAAAAATGAATAACAGGTCGCACATCGTTGATTTAATTGTGATAATCAGAGAAAAGATATTTTATTTCTGTAACTTTTGCAATGTTTTTACACATGTGACATTTACAACTCTAATCAGATTTTCTTTTTTCATGATTATGTATTACATCTTCTTTTTTTGAAGAGAAAATCATATCATTAATTGTCCTCCATTCCCTCCTCCTCGCTCTATAGGACCAGTCGCTCCACAGCCAGGCAGCCACCTTAAAGATGTACACTTATAAAAAGTTATATGTCAGATTAGAGCATTTCAAGGCTATTAATCTACATATGTTATATACAAAGATTTAAATTCCAGGGTATGTAATGATTCTGCAAGGCGTTTATAAGAAAAAGAAAGGTACTTATTGTCTAACAACCCATAACCTCACCAGACTAATTTAAAAATTCTTCTTTAAATCATCTTTGGTTTACCTTTCAACTCTATTTAGTGAAACTAAAGCTATAGGTTATATCCTCAGTTCAGTTTATTAAAGTAAAGGGTGGCATTAAAAATCCTGATGGTGTTTATCATTGGAGGTTTTCATCAAAACAATTGAAGAATGCTATTTTGACGGCGCGTGAGTACAACTGACTGACCCACAATGACTCTTTTATGATGTTATTAACTCAACTAATTCAGATGTATTAGTTTAAAAATTCATCTTTTAACGTACGGTAAAGGATTATGCTCGCTTCAAACTAAGCTAACTCATGACATTTAGGAATTGCTATGTGATTTCAGACCTAAAGAGCAGCAGGCCCAATTATTACTTAATTATCACTGGTTTAGAGAAAATCAACTTAGGTCAAATGTTTGCTTTGAATGTCTCTGGTTGGACCTCATAAAATTGCTCAGACATAAACAATAAAGCCTAATTGAAGCAGAACATATATTTAAAAGATGAAAATATTTATGATTAAACCTGCTGGAGGTGTTTTTGGTTTCCATTTAAATAAAGCACTTTAAACGTTGTGTATGATGAACTGACCTACATGCACAATCTTTTCTTCAAAATATTTTAACTCGTCATTAACATCTCAGCTTCGTGTTCTAATGTTTAGTTATGCTTTAAATCAACCTTATGCAAAATAAGTACTTGAACCCTGATGAAGGAAAAGAGATGGTGCTGCATGTTTACCAGCAGCTCTTCATCTTCTAAATGGAAACAACCAGAATGTGCTGCAAAGCAAGCTCTGGATTTGGTACCAGTTCCTCGCATTATTCCTTCATTAATAGCTTCACACGGAAATAAGGTTGAAATAGAAAGAAGCACCTTATGATTTCAACCAGAACCGTGTACCAGCATCTAATTAAATGTCACATCTAACTACTGAAGTCCCGATTATGTGAACCGTGACAGGATAACCCTCCTCGCACCCGCTCATACACCTCCATGCTGTGAAATAATTTCAGACACTCATGAACACTCATGAACACTCCAGCCTCTCTCACTCTCCTCACTCTAACCGTTTCAAAATTAGTCTCTCTTTCTCCATCCTCCTTTTACTTTAGAGATATCCCATACTATCCCATGCACATGGCTCAGTAGGCAAAACCTTTTAAAATAGTGGAGCACCTTGGCCATCTACTCGTAACCAGCTGTATTAAGTGCTCCCTTCCCCTGACATGTCTTCTCAATATTAGCCTGGCAATATGAGGCAGCTGCAATTTCTCCTCTACAGTAGACGGGGTGATATTGAGTCGGGGGAAAACAGAGGAACCAGAAGAGGAGGGTGGAGACGGAGTAGGAAGAAAAGGCGGTTAGTTAGAGAGAAGAGAGGAGAAAGTGTGTGTATAAGAAACAGTGAGACAGCAAAATGTCATAAATCACTCAAGATACTTCAGAGACAAAAGGAAGAGAGCATGAAAGGAGAAAGGAAAGGCAGAGGAATGTCACTTTATCTTCCCTGCAGACTGACAAACTACTGGTGGCGGATTAGCATTAGCCCAATGCACTATACAGGAATTTTCCAGCTTACAGAGACGCCAAACAAACCCTAAAATTCGTCCTACACAACGGGATAAAAAAGCCCTGGAAACACTTTCTTTCTTCCCTTTGAATTTCTTTTCCTTTTTTGAAGCACTTCTTATTATAAGAAACTAAGCTCGAGCAATGTGCTTAAAGCCTGTACTTACTTCTTGTTTTATTACCAGATCCAAAGCTGAAGCATGACATTTTTTAATTGTTCCAAATCTTGACATGATTTTTTTTTATCTGTCACCTTTTATTGCTTATTATTGTCATAATGGGTATTTAATTGGCTGCCAGACATTTAATTGATTTAATGTACATGTTTAAGGCCTAAATTGACTTGTTCTGTTTGCTGAATGAGCTTCACTTATTTGAGAATAAGAGTTTAATCCAGTCCCGGAGACACCGAGGAAGGAAAATGGAGATGCTTTGGCAAATCTGATCTAAAGAAACCTATTTTCTTTCCCTCCACAGGTTCCCGCCATGGACTTCATTGGTATGAAGCGCTCACAGATGTATGGAATGACAAACAATCCATACTCCAGTCCCCAACAGCCAGGGGGTGCGAGCTACCCCTCAAGCCAGCCATATGCATCACCTTCTCCACATCGATATCCATTGAGCATGCAGGGGAGGAGCCAATTGGGGATGACTGGCATGCAATACCCTCAACAGCAGGTATGTTAACTGACTGAAAGTCCCGCCGATTGAGCTGTGTAAATTAGAAAGGTGGGATTACCTTTAAAAAAGTATTCTTATACACTTTTCTAAGGTCCACATTTGTGTGACCATTTTTTTCTATAATATTTTTGCTGCTGTAAACACCAGAATTTCCCCATTGCTGGAAAATGAAGGGATTTTCTATTCTATTCTATTCTATTCTATAAGATGCCAGAGGATGCGTTAAAGTTGTTTTTCTATCTGCGAGGAGCTCAGAATAAAGACTTTTGCCCCCTCCTCATCTGTCTTGCACTCATCTGGTCAGCTGGCATAAAAAAAAAATAATTCTAGCAAGTTTGACTGAGAGAAAATATTTCTGGCCGTAAAAAAATCAGAAACTGCCTATGTGGATGTTAAAGAACCAATCTTTACTACTATAATGGAAGCCAACAACAGATTTTCTACCTAAGCAGATACACATAAACCAGGTATGTCAGCTGGTTAGCTGGTTCTGCTGCTCTTTAATAAACAGCTAAGAAAAGTAAGTTCTCAAGAAAAACAAAAATAACTAAGCAACTTTCATGAATTAACAAATATTAATGATTTTCATTTAAATCTATTTACCAACACATTTTTTTAAATACACTAAAATGTTATTTCAGGAGCAATTGGAGTAATCTCTGCTTTTCAGGTGGTGCATTTATGGTACATACTTCTGTGCAATTAGTCTTTATTCAGCGTTATCATGACATGAGAATCATACCTAGAGTGTTTTTGTTATAATTCCAGATCTCTTTGATACCAGTTGTTATTCCTCGAGTTAAGAGAGATGTTTCAATCGGACATCCTGTTCATGCCTTGAACATTTGATGTACTCTAAGAGATCAGGCAGCATGTCCTGCATCCCAGGCTGCTGTTGTTTTGCTCCTGTTCTTCAATCAATTGCTTTGAAATTCCCACCCTTTCCTGTTGTGATTGATGGTTCACCTGTCTCCACATACGTTGAAGCATTTTCTGTTCTTGTGTGCTTTTAAATGTATGTCTGTATATTTCTGATTCAATCTGCATTTAATCATACATTCTTCAATGTATGGCTTACTGCATGTCTGTCTGCCCACTCTGTTGTCTCTTAGCAGCACGGTAGGCCTGTAACACAAAGATGTTTGTTTCTGCTGTGCTGAGTCCAGGTAAATCCAATTTCCACTACAGGGGTTCCAATTATATTGTGTGAGTCGATTCTGGCAGAATTAGGTTTCACATGTGGTGTGTGAATGTGTATAGAGAAATATAGCTTCATCAGTGTGGTTCAGGGGGTAGTTTGTAGTTTTCACCACTGTCATCGGGTGCTATATTTAGCTTGCCAGGGTCAGTTGGTCTGGACTTACAGGCCTCTTACTGGGGTGGCTTAGCTGACACACGGCAATGCTGCAGAAACAGGATAAATAAAAAAAAGTGTATGCATTGAAAGGCTTCCTGTTTTGTCTAAAATATTCTCAGACATCAATAAACATGTAGTGGGGAAGAATACTCTTACACATTTATTGATTTATTTATTTTTTACAATTGTTGTTAACATTGAAATATGGTAAAGCAATATCAGGTCAAATAAAGGGGAAATAAAAATCAACATCATCATGTAATATTTTCTATTAGATTGTGAAAGGAATAGGTCAAAACTCTAAAGACTCTGTTATTAAAGGACTATAACCAGTCAACACCTTGAGTAGAAGGATAACTTTTTTGGTGTATAGATTTAGTACAAATCCAGATAAAAGACTGAAGATACTACGTAGCTTAAGTAGAGCCAAGAACAAATGGAATTTCGCTTACAATATTTTCATTCTCGATATGATACTGCAGCTTTGAGTATCAACATTATATATATAATGCGCATATAATTTATATATATATATATATATATATATATATATATATATATATATATATATATATATATATATATATATATATATATATATATATATATATATATATATATATGTATTATATAGCATCAATACATACATACAATTTTGTAGTTGAATGTTAGAAAACTCTTGATCAAATGATATTATAAAATAAAGAACAACAGTCATGACTTTTAAACCGATGGGTTACATAAACTTTAAACACAATTAGGCTGAAGTTACGTGATTCTATTATATTTCCTATATTGCAGGTTTTAGATGAAGGACGATATTTTTTGTTTGGCTGATATCAGACCGAGTTCCGACAACGATATTAATTACGGACATGTGTATTTTAAGTTTTTTTAATCTCAGAGCTGTTGTAAAATATTATTTGATTATAACCTTTTAAACCTATTATACTGTATCTCTGTTTCTTTCTGTATGTCTGCTTCTGTCTCCTTGAACCCCAGTCAGCCTAGGCAGATGGCCGCTCACACTGAGCCTGGTTCTGTTGGAGGTTTCTTCCTGTTAAAAGGGAGTTTTTCCTCTCCACTGTCGCTACAAGCATGCTTAGTGTGAGAGATTGCCTTTGAGTCAATGTGTTGATGCAATCAACTGGTTTTCCTTAGATAGAAAACTTTGAATCAATTTGACAGTATGATCTGGTTTATTTGTAAAATGTCTTGAGATGACATGTGTTGTGAATTGGCTCTATATAAATAAAATGAATTGAACTGAATTAAACCTTCGAACTGAGCTTATTTCTGCAAATGGATTTTTCTATTTCAAGATCCTAATATTTCTGTTAAACTCTCTCTGTGTTGAATGTCTTGTTATGGTTGGTAACTTCAATGCAGTCCCAACTCAGTCACTTCAAATCTCAGACTTCATTGCTTTAGGTCCAAACCCCCCTCTGACGCATTTCTGTGATGACAACGCGCTCCCAAAATGATCATTACTGAGCTCAATAAGGGGTTTCAAGTTGTGAAATACACACAGTTGGGAGCAAGCGGGGGTGTATATGTGAAGACATGCTGAGCTCTGAGAGTAATACCAGTTCACAAAGACGTACAGTTTGTCAGAGACACAGGAAAATACATCCGTGGTACTATTTTGTGATGAAATCCTCCAGCCCATTTCATAGGGGAGGCTGTGGTCGGGGTAGCAATCACTGCCTAGCGTTATGGAATGTAATTAGTTCAAATAGAATTAGTTGTTCACTCTGGCTATATCCATGGGAACTGTGCTTCTAAAGTTTCTAATTATCTGGCTCTGGCTTTAAAAGCAGTACCACCGCATTGCCTATCTGCAGCCGGTGAAATCTAGCTCGCGGTAATGAGTTCGGAGGAGGAGGTTTAATTCCACCCTCTCAGATGAGCGTAATGAGGCTCACCTACAGAAAAAGCGGTCAGGGGTCTGATCAGGCAGCAGAGGAGAGGTCCGGGAAATGAATGTTCCAAAATACTGCGTGCTGCAGAAAGCACACCATGTCAGTTCCTGAAGTAACTGTTAATTACGTGTCAAAAGAGGCACTGAAATGCGGTTAGGACAAAAAGAACTGCAGCTGAATCTGAAAGAGGAACAATAGGCCCTCTTGCCCTCTTTCTTAAGCCTGGATGTTGTGAAACTTTTCCAAAATCGGCTGCAAATGCTGATCTTGGCTGCAGCTGCATCAGCAAGGAGGAATGTGGGTGATGTAAGGCACAGCACACACTACCCCCCATGATGCATCACACTTCAGGGCTGAAACCCCAGCTTGTCACAGCCGGGCATGCTGAGTTGTTGCCAGGCAACATGACGTCAACAAAGGCAAGCATGTTTGTCTGTGATTTCTCTGGGACGGAGTCTCCGTCTGTGTGTAGGTAGGGGTTTAGGCAGCGGAACAAAAGGCCCTATTATACAGCCTTTGATTGCTCTGATCGAACCGTACTAAAATTAAACCTAACTTATTAAGAATAAGCTCTGCTTGGTAATATTTCATTGACTAGATTTATCAGTCATGTAGAACCTCCTCGTTTACATCTTTGCTTCTCAATTACAGAGATGACCCTGGTTTAAATGTTTTACAGACACTCTCCTGTCACATCTGGATATATCAATATGATACAGCCTAAGACATAAAAAACTAAGTAAAGTTTATCAACCCAGCATTATTATCTAGTTAATTTTGGGGTTTAAGGACTGTTAACTTGATTATGATTAGGAAAGGTATGCTTTGGGCAGGAAGCCCCCGAAGAATGAGCAGGAGCAATTAGGGAAAAACAAATACATCCACAACGTTTCTGTTGTTGACACACATTCAGCTTTAAGGAGAAGAAAGTCAAGGGAAAGGATATCCGCAATTTATGTAAAAATAAATGTAGTGAGCAGGTATGACACTGCTTTTATTTGCAGTCCGCCTGTACCCTAACTGGCTGAGTTAATAGATCGTGTTTGTTTTTGTTCACAGCGGTCATGAACTCTCAGCTTTGGTTAATATATGTTTTTTTGAATAGCTGTTATATTTAGTATTTTTATTTATTATAAATCATTCACTGGACTGGACTGAATAAAGTAGTGTTAAAAAACATAGTGTTCATATTAAATGAATGAATTACATTGATGAGTCCATTTTAAAGAATTTTATTTTAAAAAGTATCTACTTTTTGAAGTGACTCGTTTATGAGTGTTGTTTATTTGCCTTGCAGTGGTCCGTACTCTTTGGATGAAGTTGTTTTTTTTTTGTATTTTTCAGTAACTACAGCATCGACGGTTGTATAGGCCTTTTTATTGCTTAGTTTTTGAAAGATCAATCAAGAGTAAGTTAGAGAATTTTGGGCTGAAACAAATAATCAAAACAATTGTGATTAATCAATTATTAAAATAATAACCATCAACTAATTTTTTAATCAATTAATCGAGAGTCTAGCTGACAGAGCAACCAACTCAGAGCAGTAATGAAACAAAAATTGTAAAAAAAAAAATAAATAAATAAATAAAAAAAATAACAACATAGAAACATTTTCCATTTCAGATGAAAAACTTATTTATGTCCATTAATATATATTAATATCCAAAACCCATAAGGAGTGTAGGTTTTTATTTTAATGTTAGGTTTACATTTGGTAA